GTTTTCAAATTCTATTGGGCTTGCATTATAAACTTTTGTATTTTAGAGGCCCTAAGTGAGATTCTCCCCATAATATATTTATGGATGCTAGGCATCATACTTACCTTATGTGCATGTGCAAGCCGGATAATTCGAGCAAGTTGGGTTCAATTTAAGTCGGCTTATTTAAAATGGATTTAAAATACTCTATCATATAAAAGAAAGCCCATATGATGGCCAAACCTAGCCCTAATCTCTCAAACTTTTAGGGGCTAGCCCCTAGAGATGGGAAATCGAGCAGGGCCGACCTTTAAGAGTTCAAGCCCTAAAGCTCAATTTTCTAATTTTTTATCTAATCTTGAGGCTTGACCTTTATTCAAATAGCTCAGGATCGAGCTCATAAGCCCGTTTTTAAAAAAATAAAAAATAAATATTATAATTTAAATAAAATATTCTAAAATTCAATGTAAAACAAATCAAAGTTTCATATCAAACAAAATTTAAAAGTCTAAATTTAAGATGAAGATTAAAATCTTCATCAATCTAAATATAAATCCTCTTCATCATCATCTAAAAACATAATATTAAATCCCTCATATGTAGGTCCACTTATTAGAGATAGAAGTGGAGGTTCAATGTTAATTATTTCTATAATTTTTTTATCATTACCTACAATAAATATTAACCAAATATCAAACATATATATATATATATATATATTACCATAACATGGCACAAAATCATTTAATTATAAGTACAAATTAATGCTTGCACATTATCTAGAAGGACATGAGAATAATATACTTTGTTAGAACACAGGAACCCATGTTAAAATCAATTTGCTAGTTATTATAATGATTGAAATACTTAGAATATTATATGCCATGCTTGAAAGATTAGGAAATCATTTTTTATTAGGCTTCCACCAATGCAACTCATCTAATTCTAAAAATTAATGACCATCAAAGGAAGCTTCTTCTAAATAATAATCTAATTCAAATTTTCTAATGGAAAAAATACCCCTACTTTTGAAATTAAGAAAATCTTATATTTAAAAAAAATCTCTAATATAATCATACAGTGATTTTTTAGTTTTTTTAAAAAATTGTAACAAGGCTTAGAAGGTTGCTTAAGCCCGAGCCTTTTGTTTTTAAGGCTTATCAAGGCCGAGTCTCGAAGCCTGGTCACCCTAAAAATCACTTATTTTTTAAATCTGAACCTTTATTTAAATATGTTTGACCCTTATTCTTGACTCTACTAGCCCCACTTAAATTGTTAAATTTTATTTTATTTTAAATTTTTTTCTAATTTCAATTTTTATTTTTTAAAAATTAATGTCTTCAATTTTTATATTATTTTATTAATAATAAAAAAGAAATTTTGGTACTTGGTCTAAGCCTATTTAGGTTCGAGTTTGGCTCAAATTTTTTCGAGTTTATTCGGGTGAATAAGCCTAATGTAAAAAAAAATGTTTAAACTCCCAAACTCAGTCATAAGTTTTTTCAGATTTATTCAAACTAGCCTGTCGGGTTTAATCCAAATTATCGCCTATAGTCATTGTTGATTTGGAAAAAGAAATAAAACCGATATCTCCTTAGTGCATCAAACAATAGACATTGCTGCCACCCACTAAGGTGAAATTTGATAGAGCTATCAATTAGGGTTAGCCCAACTTTAAAGGGTTGGCCCTTGAAGAGGAAAGGTCTAAACATAGTGGCCTAATAAGCCTGATTACATTTCAATGTACCATTTTACAAGGCCTTGCCCTAAGCTAGGGTTGAAGGGCTGACTAGGGGTGTTCAGTCTGGACCCATCCCGACTGGCCCAGTATCGTCCCAATCATATTAGGACGGGTCTTGTCTTGGCCCGAAAATAATCGGGACGGGACTTTACGAGACGAGACAGGAAAGGGTTTCGGGACGGGACGGGACACGAGATTACCATCGGGACGTTCCGTCCTGTCTCGAATATTATATATATTATTTTTTATTTGAAATATATTAATTATATTAATATAATTTATACTTATATTAATTATATCAATTATAATTTTAATACTTGCAATTTTTATTTAAAACTAAAATTTTTTTATATTGATAATTTTAATGGTATGGAGTAAACATGACAATATCTTTCTTTATAATATATTAATTATATTAATATAATTTATTCTTATATCTATCTATTTAATAAATTTTATTTATAAAATATTTCTTGCTTATTTTTAGAAGAGTAATTAGCTTAGTACATCTTCATTAAAGTAGAAGAACAATGATTTGAAGTTGTATTTGACTTGCCTGTTGTTACTTATCTTATAGCATAAAGATCACTTGTATTTGTTATTATAATATGTAGGTGTGATTAATATAATTCAATAACTAATTTTAAATTATTGTTATTTATGTGCTTGTGTTGTTTTAATTTTAAACTTAATAAATTATATGATTCAAAATTTTAATGAACATTATTATTCAGATCTTTTTTCAATATTATTCCATTTATCAGGATGACGGGACATCCCGATCTTGTTCCGGTCCCATCCCGACTCTTAACGAGATGGGACGACTTTCGGGACCGGATGGGACACGGGACCAAAATTCAGTCCCGATCTTTTTTTCGGAACGGGACACGGGACGGAGGTGTCCCGATCCCGTCCGGTCCTGTCTCATGAACACCCCTAGGGCTGACCTTGCAAGCCTTAGCCTTATTTTTTTAATTTTAAAATGTAAAAAATATTTATAATTCTAAAAAAATTATTGCACATAAAATTAAGTTTTAAAAATAAATATAAGTCAATCCATACCACAACAAATATGTAAAAGTAAAAATCTAAGTCTAATATCAAATAACAACATCCAAATTAACACAAATAAAAATTAGAGTTTGCTAGCATTATTAGCTAAATTTTGGTGAATGAATGAGGGAGAGAAGAATGAGTCTAGGGTTTTCATTTGTTCTAATTAGATATTTAGTCTTTTATTTTTTCATATTAAAATTTGAAAAAATAATAATAAAAAGGATTAAAAGGGCTAGCCTTAGTCTTAAAGGGCCGGCCCTTTTAAGTCAAATAATTTTTTTTTACTCTAAAATAACAGCCCGACCTTAATTATTTTTAAACTTAAAAAGACTAGCTCTAATTAATAGTGCAACAAGAACAAAAGTGCGGACTTGAGCTGCTCCGCATGATGCAATGAATTTAATTTGGGGTGGGACATTTTTGAATTACCATGTTATGATATGGACAGGTTGGTAGCAATGCAATAAAATTATACTCCTTCCTTTTTCATGATCCCCCATTTTAAAGACGAGCGTTTGGAAGGAAAGGACCCAAGTCAATAAGCCAAACAATGTGTAAGTCTGGCAAAAGATTGCTCATTATCCAGCATAAAACCAAAAGGGGGGGGTCATTTCTTATCAAGCAGTAGTCAGCTTCTCATGCACCAAACATGTTTAGCTTGGCATTCCCTCACCTATTATTATTCTTGATGAGACATTCATTGGTACCAAACTTGGCCTTAAATGAGGGAGAGAAGCACCCCAAAGAAATGGAATGACACCTACCAAACATGTCAAATTTGGCTATTCCCTCACCCACTTCCATTTCTCACCAGCCATTACCAGCTACCGTGGATATATAGTGGGAAAATAAATATTCAAATATAATATTAATTCTATTCAATTCATAAGTAAAGGCAGACATGAGAATCAAGACGGGCTCAACTTTTAAGGACTCAGGTTCTAAAGCTTGATTACCTAAAATTGAACTGATTCTAAAGCTTGACTTTTATTTAAAGGGCTCAAGACCTGGCCCTTAAGCCCTCTTTCTTAAAAAAACTTTAACATTTTAATTTAAATAGAATATTTTAAATTTCAACATGAAATAAATCAAAGTCTCACATAAAATTCAACATAAAATTTAACAAAAATTTAAAATTTTTAAATTTAAGATGAAGATTAAAATCTTCATCAATGTAAATCTAAATCCTCCCATCGTCATTTAAATATAAAATATTAAACTCCTCATATATAGATCTACTTGTTCAAGATAGAGGTGGAGATTCAATGTCCATTATCCCTACAACTTCTTTTTCATCACTTATAATAAATATTAACCAAATTGTGTCATTATTAATCAAATATATGAATGATATTTGTATATATAAGATAACCGGGCTTATCAGGGCTTCAAAGGCCGCCTGAGCTTTTTTTTTTACAAGGCTTATCAGGGCCAACCCCTCAAGCCTGATTACTTTAAAAAAATAATTTTTAAATTCTAAACCTTTATTTAAATAAAACTTTCAAGCCTGGCCTTTCAAGCCCGACTTTAAGTAAAGGCATGATCACAAAAAAAAAAACCTAACTCAATATTTTATTATAGATCTCTAATCCTAACCCTAATTAATGTAAAGGATAATTTAAACAAGTCATATTATAAAAATTAAATAAAAATTTGACCTTAATAATTTAAAATATTACACTTATTTTGGAAAAAAAATCCTTATTAAATTTAAAAGATTATTCTAATAAAATAAAAGCCTTAAATTTAATTAATCCTATATCCTAAATATAATAGGCCTTGCCTTTTTCTCAAAAAAAAATTCCAAATATATGAAAAAGAAAAACAAAGCTTTCAATTGACAAACAAAATATAAAAAAAGACGCATTAAACATTAAATAATATATATGATGGAGAAAGCTTTTTTTATAAAGGGGGAAAAAAAAGAAGAAACAAAGCAAAGAAAGAAAAAGCCAAAAAAAAAAAAAACTAAGTCACATGCCCCGCGTTCAACATATTATTTAGAGAAAATGTCAACTAAGAATCATTAAAAGAAATTTATATTAATCAAGAGTTACTTGTTGTTAAAACTTAAATTAATATTTGTCGATTTATATTAATCTTTTATCAACAAGGATCCATTCAAGTTTTAATAACAACTTATTCTAAATTACTAATAATTTATTTAAGCTTTTTTTTATTCAAATTTTGGTAATAATTAATCTTTCACCGATATAAATTTTTTCCAAGCTATTTTATCTATTATTTAATGCCAGCACTGAGAGTATCACCATTAGGCACTCGAAGACTAAACACTGCCGTCTTAATTTCTTCTTCACTAAACATTTCACCAATCTCCCTCAATTTTTGTGACTCAATATTAGGATAAGACTCTGCAAATCCCCCTCAACAACCTCTTGATGTCCTCCTTCTCTGAAAAAGGCAACACAGCATGTTGTATTTCTGTAGCATCGTAAACCCATTCACCATTATCATCACTCTTCAAAAGCTTCAATCTTGTTCCATTTTCTTCTAGCAGTAGCCCCAACATGAAAGTATTTTGTATTCTTATATCCTAGCAACAAGGATCTATGATCAGACTTAAAAAAAGGCAGTTGAAGAACAGACACGTTAACAAACTGATCCATGAAAGCATGATTCACAAACACTCGATCAATTCTTTGTTTTTTTTTTTTTTGGTAGAACACTCGATCAATTCTACTTTCACTACCATCATAGAATTTGGACTTAATCAAGCCAGTGAAAGATTTTAAACAAGCCCAATCTCTTCAGATTGTTATGCAACAAGAGCTGGCAATGTGACCCATAATCCAATATGGCAAATGGGTTCGAAGTGCTTGGGCCCAAAAAAGCTACACTGTTTCCATTTCTTCTATTAAATCCATGTCTCCCTGCAGGTGGGAGTGGAATGGAACGTTTTTTTTTCCCCCTTGGTTAAATTTTTTAATCTTTCTTTTAAATAATTTCTACAAATGTAAAGTGACATTACGTATCTTTATATTAATTTTTAAAAGATTGCAAATAATATACATCTCAAATAAAAAAATATGTCTTCATCCAAATTCAGAAATTCTCATCTTCTAGACTATTCAGTTGAAAAAATAGTGCATAATATTAACATTAATCATTACTTTTATTTTTAGAAGTGAAGATTTAATATATATATATATATATATATATGATAACGAAGAGGAAGGGATATATATATATATATATATATAGAGAGAGAGAGAGAGAGAGAGAATAGTGGAGCTCATTAACGTTGGGAGGGACACAATTTCACCACTATATCATTACTTTCTAGAGCCATTGCTTGCTAGAACCTCCAATATGTGTAAATATATATCAAATAGCGAGCCCCCTTGACAACATAGTTGTGCCTTGGTTAACAAAAATCTCTTTAATTAGCTTACACGATGATTCTCTTATGTTCTGTTGATCATGATAGAATAAATCTCGGAGACCTTTAGGGGCATAAAGATTTGAAGGCTCCAATTTCAAAAGCAACATTCCTAATCTCATCATTAGTAATTTTAATTGCTAGAATATTTCATTAAAGAAGTGAGACATTTTTATTTTTCTGATTTTATAGGAAAAAGACACCATGGAGTTCATAGACCTTTTTGTTCTAGCATTAATGCCAATTATAAAGGTACTCTTGCTGACAGCTGTTGGGACAGTTCTTGCATTAGACCGGTTTGATATTCTGGGTGAGACTGCCAGGAAATACCTAAGTGCTGTAAGTAGCATTTTTATTATTGTTCTAACTCATAAAGCTATCAACTACAATATAAATTGAAAAAATGCATGCTTTCATAACAACTAACATATATAGTTTTATTTTTCCTCTATTTTTTCAGATGGTATATTTTGTCTTCACTCCTGCATTAACTCTTAGCAACATGGCTCAAGCTGTGAATTTGAAGAGTCTACTTAGGCTGTATGTTTATTTCTGACCTCTCCATTTGCATTTTCTTTTTCTTTTAGTTCCTTCCTCAATAGGAATCTTATTAATCTTTCCTTCATTTCTTGTAGTAGCCTTTAAGCTTTCCCTAATTATGCAGGTGGTTCTTGCCGCTAAATGTTTTACTCACGTTCATCATTGGGTCTGCTCTTGGATGGCTACTCATAAAAATAACAAGACCTGCTCATCATTTACATGGCCTTGTGTTGGGATGTTGTGCAGCAGGCAAGTTATCTATGTATATAAATATATAATTTGAAACTAGTCCTAGTTTTGATCAAACTTTCAGATTAAGGTTGTCATGTTTCTAACTACTTCGGTGAATATTAATAGGAAGCCTGGGAAACATACCTCTTATCGTCATTCCAGCTGTATGTAAAGAAAGAAGCAAGCCATTTGGAGATCAAGATGTCTGCAGCAAGGATGCAATGACTTATGCTTCTCTATCCTTAGCGGTAAGGCACTTTACTTTAAAAAAAATAATTGAAAAATATGTATGTTCATTAAAGGGAAATTTTGATAACCTTTGAAGTCTAAACCAATATGAATTTTTTTTAATGTTTATTTTTGTCAGATAGGAAGCACTTTCATATGGACATATGTCTACAACCTTGTCCGCGTGTGCTCATGCCAGGATTCCTCTGCAAACCAAGTTGATGGTTCCCCAGTGATTCATGAGTCTATACAAGAAATTGATCCTGAGAATTCTTCAAGAAGTTCAGTAGGATCATCAATCAAAGTGGAAGACATCTCAGAGACAAGTGGCCAAGACAACAGGCTTGAAATTGAAATTGCAAGGGTACGTAAATGTTGTCTAACATTCCTTTATTATAAGCAATTTTTTCACTTTAGTCTGAACATCTATCTTTCCATTGAACTTATACTATTATAATCTAATGTCATTATGTGTAACATATGATGATATGTGAATTGTCCAAAAACTATTTAGTGGCAACACGTTATACCTTTTACTGTTTAGTCAATACAACATATATATTGTAGTTTTCTCTATTTTGTCCCTTTTTTATGTATAGTTTGGCTTGCTAGTTTTGACCTTACATTTTTTTTTTTTTTTGTAGAGTCCATCGGCAACAAAACTGGCCAAGATAACAAAGCTACTAAGGAAAATAGTAGCAAAGATCAATCTGAAGACACTAATAGCACCTGCAACAATTGGAACGGTATGAAAACAATTTTCTTCAACACTATTTTTGCTATTTCTCTTAATTAGTTGATTGAGAATATGATATATCTCTCAATTCTAATAAGCAAATAGTAGACGAAAACTAGAAAATAAACAGCAAGATAATCGTATTAGCATGGGATGGATGATATTTTTTATTGAATAACTAAATCATATTACAAGGGCAATAATGCTCTAGCCAAAATCACATATAATGACAAAAATATAAGAAATTGAATGAAATGCACAGAGAAGGAAATGGTTTTGGCTATCGGGAGAGGGGACCTTTTGATTTTATTTTTGTTTTATTAGTTTGAGAACCAATGTTTTATAAAAGATGTTCTGGGAATAACAAACTTAAAAAACTTGTTCGAATAATTATTCTAAAAATGATATCTCAAAACTAAAAAACGGAAAAAACTTGTTTGATAAATTACACTGAATACATGTTTTGAGGAGGAAAAAACTTGTTTAATTAACCTATTTTACCTAATTAATATTGATATAATTTTTTCTAATTATTTAACATTTAACATTATATTGTAACCGCGACTTAATTTAATGATAAAGTTCGAATAGAATCATCAATACGTATATAAGTAACATTGATCCATATGAGAGAAAGTCTTGATAACATAATCAAACCTCATATTAACATTGTCATTAGCAAAATCTCCAAAAGATTGATTTACGCAAAGTCTCCAAAACATTAAATTTAAAAAGCCACAACCACACGTCACTGTCATAAATAATTTCCTATGATGACTTGAGTGAATTTATCCACTACTTTGACATAGACATCATCAGGGACAATGGACATCATCAATGGTTAGCAATTTGAACTTCTACCCTTTCTTTAGATGCCTCAGCCCACACCCTTAATATGTTAGCAAAAAATAATATAGTCAGACCATTAAATATGTCAATATCTTCAAAACCAATATTTCGGCCATATTCATATTCCCCAGAATGCAAGTCCCTCCTGTTATTAAATAAATAAATGAATGAATAAAGAATGCAAGTCCCTGCACCTGTAAGAACTCCATCACCAATCTTGGGATGTCTATCTCCTGAAGCTTTACTAGTTCCTCCAATGTCACATTATGCAGAATTGACACATTGTTACCAATCACTGCGGTTTCTCCTGCCACCAATCTTGTTGCATGATCCAGTAAAATCCCTCTTCTAATTTTTGCCCCTGGAAGAAAAATAGTAACTCAAATGCAACTAGCTTCCAGTCTGACCAGAAGTATGATCTTAAGGAGTAGAATTGTATCAAACAAAATGCATCCGAAACAAAAAAGCTATTGAAGTTGACTCGTATGACCAAGAATTTTAATGAACAAAAGTAAAAACACTTTTCCTACAAGATAAAATCTAATTATGTACATGTCCCACGTAGAGTTATCAAATGATATATTCCCCACATACAGTTATCAAATATATATATCCCAAATCTCAGAGAGTTCCCCTCCGGTTGCGAAGTCAAGGATAATGCTGGAGAAACCATAAATATAAATTTCAATATTGTTGTTTCGCTAATCATTTACTCATCCTTCAGATGTGAGAGAAAGCAAAACCATGGTTTCATCAGATATGCAAGTACCAAGATATTTCTACCTTCTTATGTGATTCAATTTCAAACAAAAAAGTTAATTCAGAGTAAGCAACGATAAATGACAAGAAGAAGCACTCTTAGATTGAATCTAGAAGGATTCTCGGTGCATTAAGCAAAAAAGGGAAAAAAATGTACAGATTACTGGAACACTGTAAGAAGAAAAATAGCAACAACCCATTCAAGGCACATACAGTAACCAGAAGACACATTATAAAATCGAAAGATAATCTCATACACATTATATATATGCTGAAAACTTAGACCCCAAACCCACCTAGCTCCATCAATAATCTAGCAACATCATAACAGTGGAGAATAGGTTAACATCCCTTTTCCGTTAAACCTCCAATAACTTGAACGGGAACACTCCCTCTTCCCACTACACTTTGTCCTACCCTTTCCATTAATGAACACTCCAGTCCACGCCACTATCCATGAATCTCATGAACAAACCCTTATAAAGAGTAACAAAATTACTTGGTGCTTTCTGGTTCTCGAAGATAAAATCTTTTGCAGAAGTGAAACGTTTGGCGCGGTGAACTTGTGCAAGACAATAAGACATTACACATGATTCCGCGATTTACATTTAAATAATAATAATTAAAAAAAAAAAAGATCAGATGATCTCATTCAACAGACAATAAATAAGCTGAAATGAAATCAATCAATCAATCAATACCAACAAGCAATAATATCAATATAAAGTAGATCTAATTTTTGAGTTGAATAGCTATATTCTGTTTTCACTTACCTTGAAATTGTCAATATTAAACATTGGAATCACGTATAATTTAAAACAAAATCAGACAGAAAGAAACCACCATTATTTATAGAAAGAAAATCAGCTAGTATCACGAGGCTGTCTCTAGCTTTAAGAAGTTCCGATATTCCAGTTTATTCATCTAACCCCAGGTCAATCAGGAAAAACTATTAGGGGAAAATCTCAAATACAATATAAATCTCAGAACTAGTTCACCCAGCAGATATAGATTCATTCAGTCCAAAAGCATACCCGGGAAACAGATAAAACTGACCTGACCTGAGCGACGTGAAGTTGTAAGAGATGAGCAGAGATAAGAGGAAAGGAAGAAGAGAATGAAGAGGGTAGATGAAACGAAGTAAGTGAGGCTAAAGAAAAGCTAGCTAGAGAGACGAGGGAAGCGGAAGATTGAACTCACTTGAGCGAGAGACTAGCACGTAGGCCACGAGCGAACGACAACGCTACGGTAGAGATGAGAACGCGAGGCCGAGGAGAGGCGAAGGAGATTTCAAGCAACAGGGCATTAGATAGAAAGCATTTGAAATTAGGAAAGAAATAAGATAAAATTAGAATTAGAATTTAAATAAAATCTAAATCAACTAATTTTTAAATTCCCAAACAAAGAATTTGATCAAAAAGCAAATCAAAGCTTCAATCGTTCAAGTATGATGTACTGCAGGAAGGTATTTGTGTATCAAACTTTTGCAAACCATTATGTATTCATTACTTTCAAGGAATGAGTGCAACAGATTTGAAAAGTTTATACATGAACAAAGTTAAAAATTTTCATTAAAAATAGTGGAAGAGAGAATTGGATGGCCTAGGAAAGAAAAGAAATTTCCTTTATTGCTTGCCAAGACTTACTATTTCTTAACAGTCATCCTTCCTCTAACCCTTTTTCCTGTGTAGATTATTGGCTTAATAGTTGGTACAATCCCTGATTTTCGAAAGATATTAGTAGGTGAAAATGCTCCTCTACATGTAATTGTTGACACCGTATCCATACTGAGGTAAGCAATATTTGTTAAAAAAAGGTTGCTTTATCATGCTCAAGAAAATAAGGGAACTTATTTCGTGTCGCTCAAATATGTTTTATGATTCTTTTTTACTCTTTTAGTTATTTTTTTTATATGCAGTGACGCAGCTGTTCCAATTTTTAGCTTGTTAGTTGGGGCATATCTTGTAAAAGGTAATCAACAACATGATCATCTAGTATTTGATTTCTATTTTAGGTAAATTTCATTCAAGTCTTTTCTTATAAATATAAACAATAATTTAATAACAAATAGTGAATTCTCTTCAGGTTTAAGAAGATCAACCTTGCAATATCGAATTATTGTAGGGGTTATTATTATTAGATACATTGCCAGTCTTTGGCATAGGCATTATTAAAGGCGCAAATCGTATTGGCATGATTCCCCCTGATCCATTGTTCAAGTTTACTTTGTTGCTTCATTATGCCCTTCCACCTGCAATAAATTTAAGTAAGTTGATTACCATATTTAAACACAACAATTTCTGTTCATGTAACTCTCAAAAACTCAAATTTGTTAGGAAATCTAATTTTCTGTAGGATAATAAGTCATAGACTCCACAGATCCAATTTCTATGCTTTGAAACATGTTGGCTAGCAGAGAAGTTGGAAACGTTCTTTTAGTTATAATTTAATTGATTTACCTGTTGCCTTAATGACTTTGCTAGGTACTTTATGCCAGATATTTGGGGCTGGTGTGGATGAATGTTCAGTTCTCATGCTGGCAACCAATGTGTGTGCCTTAGTAGCAGTTACTCTATGGTGTACATTTTTCATGTTTCTTGTACTGTAACCATTTTCTGCACTTTATGGCACCAAATAATTTCTTGTAACTTTGCATGAATTTTGGGAAATTTTGCTTGTATATATCAAGAGTGCCCAGGTTTACAATTCTATGTACTTACGTACATATGTTGGCTTATCTACTACAACAACAACAAGCCTTTATCCCACTAGGTGGGGTCAGCTACATGGATTGCAAGACGCCATTGTGCTCTATCATTTATTAAGCTTTTAGAAATATTATTAATTAAGAGATCACGTTCAACAATTTCCAAGAGTGTTCTCTTAGGCCTTCCTCTACCTCTCTTAATCGGACTCAAAGTTATATGTTCCACTCTTCTCACCGGTGCCTCCCTTGGTCTTCTTTGTACATGCCCAAACCATCTCAACCAATTTTCTACCATTTTTTCCTCAATAAGTGCCACCCTCACTTTTTCTACCATATGTTGGCTTATCTACTACTAGAAAAAAATTGTATCAGTATAATTAATTTTTCCCCCTTAACATTAATTTTTCTTTTTTAGCATGTGCAAGTTCGATCTGTTCGATCAAACTTCAAGCCCAACAAAATGGATTCCTCAATTACTTTCAAAAGCATGTGCTTTCTGGATATTCCCCAGCTTCCCCACCACTATCCCCCACCAACAACCCAAAAAAAAAAAACAAAACAAAACAAAAACAAACAAAATACACACAAAAACTAAAGAAAAATCGGGGCATGATAAGATGAAACAAAGAGGCTAACTCAATTTGTCTTAACAAGAAGCAGGTCTACCAAATACGAATTACAATGCATTTGCGTACAACTCTAAAATGTGGGAATGAGATAGGATAGGAAAAAATCAAGCCTTAAAAGTGCAACCCCAGTTAGTGGCAATTAAGGACAAAGAGTGCACACCTATGCTTTTCCACTTCCGCTGATAGCATCCCATGTCTTGTTTTGATGTTCTTTCCACCCCACACTTCCCTGCATTCACAGGCATTGTATTTGCCAGGAATTACCTTGGCCAGGTTTGACATCTTTGCAAATATCACCGTCTTCTGTTCATTCAGGTTGAAGAAAGCTACATAGACTTCTCCTATCCAGGGATGTAATAGCAAGAGTGAGCAAATAGAAACTTCAAAATGATAACCACAAGCACAGGCCTTACAAATACACCAGATGCTTCAGGTGAGACGCTTGCCATAGGACTCTCTCATTCTCAGATATATTTTTATAGGTCACACTGAAATAAACTATCAATTATTTGAAAACAAAATATTGCCATCAAGTAAATTTGATTAAAGGAACTTGAAAAGCCTAACCAGATGCTTTAGGGGAGAATAAGAGAACAATATGTTTGAGTGTTTGCCACTAGCTTGTCTAATTTCTCACAACTAATGACAGAAAAGGTCTGTTACTCATGGTTGATACCCAAAAGATTAGAGGTTGTATACTAAAAGAATATGTCCAAACCATGGTAGCTCAAAATATACATAACTTGGGGCCATAGCTACAACAGATTTTGGATAGCAAGGTAAAAGATCTTCCCCTTGAATTTCGAGCACATTATCTTTTAGGTGTAAGAAAATATAAATCCACACTGACGTTGACTAGATAAATAAGATGCAAAATAAATGAGATGTGAAAAGTTTAGTTGGAATCAGCAACCCAGCTATGCTTTTAACTGCATGATTCTAGAAAGTTGTCTCACCGTAAGTTCTGTCACTCAGTAAACATAAGCTGAACTGTTCCTCAATAAGCAAATTGTAGAACCAATTATTCAGAAGCAAGTTTTCTGATTAAGCTAATGTACCAACATCAACCAAAGAAGATGATAATAGTGACAATTGACATACCTCTGAATACCCAAAAGAAGAAAGAAGCAGATTGAGGTCACGGAGACACACTTCATGTTTGCTAGTGCGGTTGCTCCCCAAAACAACAGAATGGAAGTTGCTAAGAAGTTACTGAAATTAACTTTCTGCGAGAAGTGAAATAATGTAAAATAATCTGTTGTCGGTTACCTACATTATTCCGTTGCTTGTCCTTTTGCTGTACAATGGTTGCCTTCTTCGAGTAGGTTGCATATGGTCCCCATCGCTCCCTGGTTCAACCACGTCGCTACCTCACGCCGTCTCTCAGTAATTTACCAAATGGAAATTTATAACCCAGTAGAGAAAGAAAAGGAACAACTTTTTTACAGCTTTGAGGGAAAGAGCCGGACTTGGGGACCTCGTTCATTGGGTTGATTCGTCAATGTCGGGCTCTTCACAGAAACTAAGAAATTTGTGAGAAATCACGCTTATACATACAAGTGATATATAATGGTATCAAAAAAATAAGAGTGATATATAAATTTTATTTGGCCAAAAAAAAAGATATATAAATTTTATATTTTTATTTTGCACTTATACACACAGTGAGACACACAAATATAGTACAACTGTATAAGTTACTGTGGTGAAATAAATGAATTTTCTATTGAGATGTGATCTAGATTTTGGACAATTTGTATGTAAATGTATTTTTAAATGAAAAGTATAAATATAGTCATCAAATGTTGAGAAAAATGAGCCGTTCACCCTCACTGATCGATCATTCTTTTGGTTTGATTTGATCGTGTATGTAATAAATAGGAGTAATGTTTAAAAGTAGGAATTTTGAACCATTTGGCATGATATGAGGTTGTCAAATTAAATTAAGGTGTCTAATTAATTCCTTACACGGTTATTATACTAACAAATCTTGTTCTTATCCTGCTTTACAATGGAAATTGAGAATGTGAGACTTGTTTTATTTCCCCCCTCAATTTTCATATTGAAAAACTATTTTACAAACACTTTATATTTATTTATTTATTTATGTTACTCATTTTTCATACTTAATAAATTTTAACAGTTTAAATTTATTTTTTATTTAATATTATAATATTTATTTGCCATTATAATAATCACTTGTGTGAGTGTGTGTGTGTGTGTGTTTTTTTTTTTTTTTTTGGTTTTGAGATACAAAGGCAAACAGAAGCTTGAAAGTAAGAAAATAGAAACAAAGTTCTAAACATTAATAACAAACTCAACCAGAGCTGTTTTTGGTATTCAAGGAACCTTTTCAAACATCCTTGTGGGATGGAATGAACTAGTACTATTCCTGGCATATTTGAATAAGCATTCTTTGCCATATAATCAGCACACATAATGGCCTGCCTGTTAGAGTAATAGAGTGAAACGTCTCTTGCATCGTACAGTAGCTCTTGGATCTCTAGTACAAGATTTCTCAAGGGATGATTTATTAAAGAATCTTGGCTTAGGAGATTTAGAGCATCCAAAGAATCTGAACGTAAATTAATTCTCAAAATTCCAAACTGCTGGGAAACTAGCCACCCAGATTTAATAGCTTGTAATTTAGCTTCAATGACAGAACAATATCCCAAATCATGTTGATTACTTTGTGTAAGTGTTGGATAGATCCATCAACATCCACACGTACCCTTCCAATTGTAAAAGGTGCCCAACATTGGTCACGAAATGTAACATCAGGAAAGATCTTATGCTAAAATTCTTGGTTGATCACATTTTCCATCAACAAAAAGTTACACCTATGTACCATGTCTGTAGTTGTAGACGTAGTCCCATAAAAAATAAACTTGCATCTAGATGGCCAGAGTAACCAACAGATCATCGCAAAGACTTTTGTCCTAGACCACGAGCCAAATTTTCTTCTCGAAGGATTCTGTCTAGTATTCCACATGAGCTATACCTGTAAATTGCCAACAAAAAAAAAAAAAAACTAGAGTTGTTATCAGTTCTTAAAACATGGGACCACACCATCTTAGCTTGCTCACAGTCTCTCAGAATATGTAAAATGGTTTCCTCACAACTACACTGAAAAG